AAAGAGACTTTGGAACTATTAAAAAATGATGGCTTTAAAAAGTGATAGGCGTAGGCATTCGAACCCTCAACCAGGTTTAAAAAATGATGTACAACCTTTGACTAGCCGAGGTTTGGAACCATAGATATGATATCTTGGTACAGTTGTCTTTAATATTATATTTTTAATGTGTTGTTTACAATCCCAAATTTCAATGCTCTTTACAATTTTGAAATATAGCTTGACTATGAAACCAGCATATCATGATGAGATACAATCACAAATATGGAAATTCTGCAAAACCTTATATTGAAATTTGTGATTTCTTGATTTAACAGATCCTAAGGAATTTAATCATGCCATGTTGGGGAAATAAAGAAATGGCATGTTCAAGATACATGGTTAGTATTAGGTCTGACCCAATATTCAGGCTCTTCCCACGTCATTCTCTCACGAATGATTGTGTATTGATGAACATAATCTTTAAAGTGAAGACATATGTGGGTCGAGGAGGTATCGGTTCTGAAATTCGAGAGGGTAAGAGATCGAATCGAGTGTGGCCATGGAAGACCGCCATCCCTTTGGATGTTCTAGTTCTAAGAGACTCTGCTAAAGGATTCATCTACTTCTTAATTGACAAGTTCATATTCATGGGCATTCCCCAGAAGATCATAGCCTCCCTAGTATGTCAAGTCATGGTTCAACTGAGGGTGACCTCGAAGGACTTCACCGCTTCGCACCTTGAACCAACCATTAATGTAGCATTGGAGGTATTTCTGTCTGTGGAAATTGAGAGGGAGATTGAAGAATACGAGGATCCAGCGGAGAAAGATTGAGAGGGAGATTGAAGAGTTTGAGGATCCAGAGGAGAAAGATAATGTGTGTGTGCCTGTCTGAGGTTGGTGTTCAATATGATGATGATGCATGGGAGATGCCATGTAACCACATTTATCACATTGATTGCATTTTGCATTTTGAAGTGGCTAGAGTCCCATGATTTATGTCCAGTGTGCGCCGATCTTTATGATAAATGATTGCATTTTGAAGTGGCTAGAGTCCCATTTTTTATGTCCACTGTGCCGATCTTTATTTATTAAATAACAAGTCAAGGTAAGAGCAAATACTTGTATATATTGATGAAACTTTCTGAATTTGTTTTTGAGCAAATACTGTCCTACAATTATAGGAATTGTCCCTTAGGACTTGTTTTTAATGGTTAGAAAATCTGAGTCAAGCGCCTGATCTTGTACAGGAAACAAACTTGAATAATTAATTTTTTATTCTTTTCCATTATTTCTATGTTTTTTTCCTACCTGTGGTATTCTTCCTTTTGCTTTTCGATAATATGTCAGAGGCAATTTTATGCTTTATTTCCCATACTCATAGGATGTTCACACTACTTTACTTGTTTACGAGTCGATGAAGTACACAATCAGTGGATTCCATATTTGGAAATCATGTTTGCCACAACTGTGGACACGACTTCTGTTTTTAGAACTCAAAAGTTCAAAAGAAACCAGTTGGCAACCCAATCTCTTGAAAAATTGTGACCAGTAAAACTGGTGATAATAGAATTGTGTTAGTCTGTTAACAGTGATACATGTTAACAGAATTGTGTTGAGAAGAAACAGATTCTTCTATGAATAGTGACATTGAAGTAACCAATTTTCAAGGCCGTTTAGACTTCATATAAAAGACTCAATATCTTGTTCAATTACACTATATTTGTAATTGTCTCTCTCACTTTCTCTCTCAAATGTATGCTTGTAAATATAAAAGTTAATACTCTAATACTCTTTGGTTGTTGCTGTTCGAGTGCATTTAAAAACAAGTGAAATAAATAAGATCTCCTGTTCTTTTGTGTACCAGGGATAAATCTGTCGTAAAGCTTGGTTGGTCACTTAGATCAATCTAATAAAGGGGAAAATATTATTTTGGGATAGTGTCATTCATTGATTAGGGGGCAAATGTTATTTTGGGAGTGTAATAATCCTTCAGTTCTTCATTTTTTTCTCAGCAATTCAGCTCTAGTTCACTCACCTTTCAATGGAGCAAATATGATAATATTTTGGAACAAATGGGCACATATATGATTATATTTTGGAATTATTTGGTTTATAGATCTGGGATGACTATTGACTTTATATGTGCTAATCTAAGAGCAAAGCTGACAATGGCCGGTCAGTCTAGCCCGGCCCTAACAAATTAGGACCTAGGACAAAATATGGCTTGAGAGGGCCAAGCCAGGGCCGGCCCTCCAAGGTCATGGGTTGGGCTGGGCCTAGGCCATGGCAGACCAAATTCAGCCTGGTCCAGACCTTTCTTTGTTTCTTCTGTTTTTCCGGGCCGGTTGGGCTCTAGCTGCCCCCATGGGGACCATGGCTGGGCTGGAGCCAGGACTAGCTGTCCCCAGGCCTGGTTCATTGCAAGCCCCTACCTAATAGTTATCAAATTAACCGAGAGAACGATAAAACCGTAAACATTTATCATGAGTGGAGCATAATATGTCTCTTATCTCATCAAACCATATAGTTTACAAACTGGGAGCTATGCTCCTCTCATCTCATCAAACCATATGGTTTACAAACTGGGAGCTATGCTCCTCTCATCTCATCAAACCATATGGTTTACAAACTGGGAGCTATGTTAGCCAGAACTCAGGATATTCACATGTTACCAAAAGCATGCGAGCCTAGTGTAATATGACAAACAAGTATGGTGCAACCTAGTGTTTAAAACATCGGACTAGAGGGTTAGACCGTTTACCCACGAGTTCCAAGTTTAAATTGGCTAACTCTCTGAACCAGATCAGGAGTTCATGGTGTTATAAAAAACATTGAAATTTGATGGAGGAAAAATGGATAATAAAAATAAAACACTTACAATCAAAATCGAACATTTGATTTCATCTCTATGAGCTATAGATCAAAATAAAAAATTAAAATTAAAATTAAATGATAAATTCAAAGTCAATATGGAAAAGAAAACTCAATTGTTCATCTTTGGATCCCAAAAATGATTTATATCTTATAGACTGTTTGAAAATATCAAAATCATGATATCTAGAGAGAAAACGATAAAAATGATAGATAAAAATATTTGAAAATGGTAAAAAAAAGAAAAGAAGAACAAGCAAAAGGCAATCATGTAGTTTGATGTTTAGGAACATTCTGGAGCAAATTTGGTGAAACATTGAGGAAGAAATTGATGGTTTTTTATCTCAATTTTAAAAGTCTTAGGGAACTTTTTCCATTTGAAAAAAGATTCAAAACCCACCATTTGCAATTATTTTTCCTTTTTTGGTTTTTTAAATGAAAATTAACCTCCCTGCATTTGCAATTCCCAAGGAACCTTCTTCTTCCTCTTACACCAATTGATAACATTTAAAAAATCCCCTTCCACAATACAAATTTTCCCAATGTGTTTCCCATCGAAGAGCTTAAGACCCTGAAGAAGAGCAAACAACTCAGCATAATCTGTAGATTTCTCCCCCAAAGGACCTGTATAAGTGAACATAATTTTGCCTTCCCAATCCCTCACAACACCTCCAAAACCCGCCAAGCCTAGATTCCCTAAAGAGCTACTATCAAAATTCTACTTAAAAGTTCCCCTAGGAGGCGAAGACCATAAGCTTTTTGGCCTACAGTTGCGGACCCCCAAATGTAGGAGGTTAAAAAAATTATATCTCACATCAGTTTCAACAATATCTTTCCCTATTTTCAAGATCGATAAATGCATCCATATAGCATGAAAAATTTTATCCAATATTCTAATAGGAGCAAACCAATGGTTTAAAAAACGGATCGGTGACCCGGATCGGGCTTCCAAAAAACCAATCCGGATCGGCGAATCGGCGATCCGGATCGGGAATCGAGTGAATCGGTCAGAATAAAGCTTAAAAAAAATCCGAAAAAATTATTAAAATTCATTATAAATATTGTTTTTTAGGAATTCAATAAGAAATGAGGGTACTCCATTAAGAATTTTCATGTTTTTGAATGAATATGCGAATATTGATATGTTCTTTCCCTGCATGAACCGCCATTCAGCATTTAATTTACATCACACAAAAGGATAAACATATAATTATCATGGAATAAGTATATCAGCATACATGGACTACAATAAAGCATAAAATTAGTAACATATGATCTAAAAATAAAATGATAGACGACGTTATTGTTCTTCTTGGTCACGCTGGTGCCATTGATTGGATTCGTTTAACAATTCATTGATTCGATCTAAAAACGAATCATCGATATTAGCAAGCGTCTGACTATTCCCAAATCCCTGAGTGTTAGTGTTTTGTTGTGTTCCCAATCTAAAATCCTCGAAGATTGTCCATCCTTCATGCTCACCTGCATTGTCGTGCTCATCCCTACACTGTTGCTATTGGGACTCGATATGT